CACTACACTGCACATTAGCATACAATGCCTCCCAGGATTCCACTGGTGGCTTTAAAGCCCAAAGCATCCAGCATTCTCCAACAAACATCTACGTTCTAATGCTGGCAGTCAGCTTTACATTATTCCAGAACACGAAACAGCCCATCCTTGCTCCACCTACAAACGCCCAAAAACCAGACAGGGCAAGCTTTACAGAGATTTGCCAGAGATCCTATTCTGCTTAGTGAGAAATTGTATATGGGTTTCATTTTTGTCAAAATAGTACAATTTGTGTTTATTAGAGTGAGTTTATGAATTTTAAATGATAGAGGCAAGCAGGCTCAACCTAATGTGGGGTAAAAAAAAACATTCTTACACAGTTAAACAGGTTGGTCATTACATGTGATTAATTATTTACAATAGATCAGGTGTAGTTTTTATCATGTAATCAAAGTAGCATTAGTATGGTGGCCAGTTTACTGTTGTCATTTCCAACCTGCCTAGTTTCAATTAGCTACAACAGCACAGTCCAGCTCAAACATGTATCATTTTCAACTGGAAACTCAACATAGCAACTCTAAAACAAAGTCTTTCTTATTTGGTTGAATGGGATTTTTGCCAACGTTCTATAAGGCTTATCCAGCTTAGCAACAGATATTACAATATAATGTGTTTGTGGGTGGAGCATGAATATGAGAGAACATTCTAGAACAGTGTGATTGAGGGAGAACATTCTAGAACCTGTGTGAATGGGGAGATGCTCCGAGGACAGTGTGAATGAGGGAGAACATTCATTCTAGAATAGTGTGAATAAGGAAGAATATTCTAGAACAGTTTTAATGAGGGAGAAGATTCTAGAACAATGTAATCAAGGGAGAACATTCTAAGACAGTGTGAATGAGGGAGAACATTCATTCTGGAGGTGCGAATAAGGGAGAACATTTTAGAACAGTGTAAATGATGGAGAAAATGTTAGAACCTGTGTGAATGGGGAGATGCCTGTAGTAAGTGTGAGTGAGGAAGAACATTCTAGAACAGTTTTAATGAGGGAGACGATCCTGTATGATTGGTAGTGATGCTTGTAGAACAGTGCAAATGATGGAGAACATTCTACAACAGTTTGAGTGAGGGAGAACATTCATTCTAGAGCAGTGTGAATGATGGAGAAGAATCTAGAACAGTGTGAATGAGGGAGAACATCCATCCTAGAACAGTGTGAATGAGGGAGAAGATTCTAGACCCTCTATGAATAGGGAGATGCCTGTCAATCAATGTAAATAAGGAAGAACACTCTAGAACCTGTGTGAATGGGGAGATGCCTGTGAAACATTGTGAATGGGGGGAGAACATTCTAGGACAGTGTAAATGATGGAGAACATTCTAGAACCTGTGTGAATGGTGGCTATACCTGTAGAATGTTGGGAATGATGGAGATGTGAACAATGTGAACTAGGGAGAACATTCTAGGACAGTGTGAAAGAGGGAGAAGAATCTAGAACAGTGTGAATGAGGGAGAACATCCATTCTAGAACTGTGTGAATGAGAGGTAAGATTCTGGAACAGTGTGAATAAGGGAGAAGATTCTAGAACCTCTATGAATAGGGAGATGCCTGTCAAACAATGTGAATGAGGAAGAACATTCTGTAACCTGTGTGAATGGGGAGATGCCTATAAAACGTTGTGAATGGGGGGAGAACATTCTAGGACAGTGTGAACATTCTAGAACAGTGTAAATGATGGAGAACATTCTAGAACATGTGTAAATGGTGGGTGTACCTGTAGAATGGTGGGAATGATGGAGAACATTCTAGGACAGTGTGAGTGAGGGAGACGATTCTAAAAAAGTGTAAACGATGGAGAATATTCTAGAACCTGTGCGACTGAGGAGATGCCTGTAGAACAGTGTGAATGAGGGAGGACATTCTAGAACAATGTGAATGCTGGAGAACATTCTAGAACGTGTGAATGGGGGGATGCCTGTAGAACAGTGTGAATGAGGGAGAACATTCTGCAGACGACACTGGACGGTGCTCAGTGGAGAGAAAGAATCAAAAGCAATAGCAAAGTGTAAAACCACCGTTCCCCTTGAAACAAGACAGAATCAGAGTGAGAAGTTGGAACGGGCAGCCACTGTTGCTCTCGCTAGACGGTGGTTCACCTTACGATTACATAAGTTTCGTGTTCACCTTGCGATCACATGATGAAAGTAATGTTATTGAATTATTGAAAGTAATAAATGCAGTCGGATGGAGCTTATTTGTCCACGCATAGCTCTGACAAATTGCACTGCTTTTTAAATGGATAATAATCTTTCTTTAGGGTCAAATTTGGGGAAATAAATGTGATTAATCACAAGTAAATGCACAAAATAATGTGATTAATTGTGATTAATCATTTTATTGTTTGATAGCCCTAGTCAACCCTACCAGTGACAGCAGATGAAAAATAACCATTTGGCTAAATCTGGACCATTTACATCTTGAAATAGTGATGCATTTTCCTCTTAAATACACAAGTGCAGTAAAGTGAGAGAAGCTTCACTGCTTGCAATTATTTTTTTCCTCACTAATTGATTAACTTTCTTTCATTTTTAGTGTAAAATCAAGCTGATCAACACCAAAACATTCTTCATGGCTCTTTTCTCTATGCTCTATTTTCATGCTCTGTTCTCTTATTCTCTGATTATATAAATTATTTCTGCCCTCTCCTGGTCTGACCTGTGAATACCAGAAAGATAACAATCAAATTCAACATTACAGGCATTTGAGTTCATCTTCACTGAGAGAATATTGAAATAACTTGTCCAGTATGTGGGCTATGGGGTGAAGCAGATGTCCGTAATTCATTATTTTTATCTGGCAGGATTAAATTGGATGAGTTATTAAGACGTACTATTCAAGCTGCTGGTTGACGAGGTCATTCTAACACGTTTCTCTGCGGAGCTGATATTTGGAAATGGTTCCCAATATAGCTGCAGAAATTCACACATTCACTTTCGCAACTTCATAGCTGACCATCTGTTAGTCTTTAACTCTTCAACATTTTTCAGTACATGTTAAATGACTTTCTCTCTGTTTACTCAAGCTGTACGTGCCGTAGTTAGGATGCGTGAGACCCGGAGATAAAGGCTAACGACAACTCAGCGAGGTCATTCAGTTCAGACTGATATTACTGCTGTGTAAAATGGTTAAAGCAGTACAATGTTTACTTTATCAAGTTCACTTTTTTGTAAACATGCACTCATTCCAAAATATGTGGGATGGGTAATTTAAGACTAAAAATGTTCTGAAAATGTTTGGAAAACATTTTGAACAAGGTGAGGTAATCATGCTTGGGTATAAAAAGAGCATATATAAATGGAGCACTTTGCCAAAAAAATGCATCAACAAATAGTCCGGCTGTCTAAGAACAACATTCCTTAATGAGCGTTTGCAAGGATTTTAGGTATTTTACTTCACAGTGCAGAATATTATCAAAAGATTCAGAGAATTTGGAAAGATTTCTGTGCGTAAAAAGCAAGGCCAAAAATCACAACTGAATGCCTGTGATTTTCGTACTCCTTAGACGGCACTGCAGTAAAAACTGGCCTGCTTCCGTGATGGATATCACTGCATGGGCTTTGGAATACTTTGACAAACCATTGTCAATGAACACAGTTCCTTGCTGCATCCACAAATGCAAGTTAAGACTGTACTATGCACTGCGGAAGTCATATGCAAACAGTGTCCAGAAACACTGCCGACTTCTCTGGGCTCAAGCTCATCTGTGGAAATGTTTATTGTGAACTGATGAGTCCTCCTTTCAGATTTTTGATAGAAATGATGGATGTTGTGTTTTTTTTGGCAAACAAGAAATAGACCATCCAGGTCGTTACCAGAGTAAAGTTCAAAAGCCAGTATCTGTTGTAGTACAAGGGGTCAGTAGTGGGTAACTTACACATCTGGTGGTAAACATGTTTCTGTCCCTACTTGTTGGGAACATATTGCAGGCATCCAAATTGGAAAGATTTGACTTTTCTGTTCCACCCTAAGTCATGTAGCAGTAACATTCTGGTGCCTAATGTGCCACAATGTAGCTGCTATTCCATTTAAGGTGGAACAGAAAATTGAAATAAGAAGCTAGCTTCAGCTTTGGGCTAAGAGAGAGATACGATTCCCTGGTGGGTCTGGGATACAACTGATGCATTTCTTCATGTGCATATTCAGGTTCAAACACCTATGATTGAGGCTCATTTGTGGAGAAAAATGGTCCTTACAATTCAGAGGCAGGCATTGTATTGATTTTCTGAGCCCACTCACTTAACTTCTGTACCTACAATACTCTGCATGCATTCCCTCAGCCCTGACTTTGGTTGCATTATGCAGAATCATACCAAATTGTGCTAAGGAAAGAAATGACTGCCTCTTTTTTTAGCTATATATATATATATATATATATATATTTAGCTATTTTTTATTATTTTATAGTTGACAGGGAGTCGTACTGTGTTCTAAATAACATAGACTTGTCTATTTAATCTTAATTAAGACCTGGATGCAATTTGAGTGCATTGAGAGAAGTTTTGATCATGTATTTGAATTGGTTTGGGTGACTATTGGCTTCCAGTGTTTGTTAGCAACATTGGCCTTGTAGCTCCAGTTCAAAATTATAGAAGCAAATTTTTGACAGCAAACATGTCTTGGCTGATCATCTGCATAGGGTAGGTGAAAAATCATGTAAATCTTGTATACCTTTAACATAGAACAGCACAAACAGGTACCAACAACAATAAACACCAATAAATACAGAAAACAGACGATAATAAACACTATGCTGTAAACTATACGACCATTATAGGGACATAAAGTGAATAATGTTACCATTACTACTGTAGTAAACATGTCTATTCATATCCTACTAGATCCTGTTCTGTTTACTCAAGCTAAAACTAAAAACCTTCGCTTCCTCTCACTCTCTCTCCCTCTGTCTCTCACTCTCTCTCTCTCTCTCTCTCTCTCCCCTCTCTCTCTCTCCCTCTGCAGTCTGAAGATGGAGGTGAAGAGTAAAGGGCCGAAGCAGCAGCAGCAGCACCATAAGAAGCTCCTGGCGGCCATGCTGTCCCAGGACTCTTTAGACTCCATGACCAGCTCCGCCCCTTCAGTTACAGAGGACGAGATGGAGGACGAGGACGACGCTATGGAACTGCTGGGTAACAAACACACAGACATTCATTTTAAACACTTGGATCACAGTTTATTTTAACAGTCCCAACAATTTTTGAAATTGGAGGAATGCCCCTTTTATAAAGCATTTGGTGAAACTTAAGGCTAAGGTTAGGGTTAGATTTAACAGAACTTAAAATTCAGCAGCATTTAATGTATATTTAGTTGAATGTAAGTTAAAGACAGAGTGAGCATCTAGAGAGCAGCTCTCAACACACCAACCCTTTATTTGGTTCCTAAAAGACAATGTAATCAAAAAGATCCACAACCATTCAAACAATTTTGTTGTAGATAAATGTATAAAATGATTCTAATAAGATGGTAGAACTCTACAATTTAATAGGTTTCAAATCATCTATAGGAAGCTGTGAAAATATTATATCATTGAAACATATCTTTTGACTTTAGCTTTTCTAGATTTCATATTTGTTGTATCTTGTTGCAATGTTTACATTATTTTATAAACAATTACTTATTTTGAAAGTTATTTTTATTTCATATTTTAGCTGTTTTTGCTTTTCCTTTTTTACCAATTATGTTATATTTGTTGTATTTTATATTTATTTTATTGTTTTTGTCTTCAATTTTGTATTTGGAAAGCAATTAGAAGTACATTTTAATATATGAAAGGAAATACATTTCATTTATTAATATTTAATAAAAAATTAAGTTTAATTGAATATACTAGAATTATTATTATTATTAGTAGTAGTAGTAGTATTACAACAACAAGAACAACAATAATAATAACAACAATAATAGTAATAATAATAATAATAATAGTAGTTGTAGTAATAATGATAATAATAATGTGATACCAAACCTTAAAGTTTAACCTCTTGCACAGTCATAAAATGCAATATCTGTGGTCCATCTGTGTATTTTTGTCTTCAGTAATGTTTTCAATGGAAGTGTGTATGATTCATAAAACTAAAAGTGAGGTGGGTTCTTGTCTTTGTTATACACAATTGTCTGATGTGAAGAAAGCTGCAGTTGTGCTGTCCATTTTATCTCAATAGATCTCTAGAGTTACAGAGATTATAGTCCAGTGGAATGAACACTTGACTGCCTGCAAAAGAGACTGCTACAGTTGATTTCACCATGAAAAGAGTCCTACACAGTTCATTCCCTATGAGGGCTTTGCAAGCTGTTTAGCTGTCGCTTTATAAATACCAGCAATCCACAAATATACACTGCAAGTCTGCAATGTATGCAGGAAAACACACGCATACACACACACTTTGTCTCTGTCTCACAAAGATTTGAATAGCTCCAAAGCAATCACACACACTCATACCTGCACTTCATTCCTGTATATGATCCACTCCAGTCTTAAGTGTATGTGTGCGCAGCCTGTCACTGATTATCGAGCATCACTTGGACTCTGAATGTTATATGATTGCTGCAGTATGTGTTGCTCCAGGCTATAAAGAGCAAGAGGGAGTGTGTAAAACCCTCAATTACACACAGAACACGTGAAGTGAGTGGGACACCACATCTTTTTCGGGGTCTCAAGTCAGCACACCGAAAAAGAGCCACCTCTAGTGTCTATAAGTCCACTACATGCTTCTATCTTTAACTGGGAACTACAATAATTTTGCTAAATATTTGCATAATTAAATGGTTAAGATGTAAACAAAGTCATTCAGAGTGGTTTGGTGTAAAATGCTCCGCTCTAGAGAAACTTACCCAGGCAGTGGTGGTGATAGGAACCAGATGTCCACCTCTAAAAGTCTCTAGAGAAAACTTCTATTTAATTCTATTTTCCACCAACATTACATATAAAAACTCAGAGGACATGTGTAGGTTCATGGGTGGTTTTGGATAGTAAATAAAATGGCCTTATTAGTTTTGTGGACATTGCAACCCCTGGTTCATATCACACCACTGTAAAGAAATCAGAGTCTGTAAATTTCACTACAATGAATCATTCCAAATTAAATCAGTCTGAATGGCTTTGTTTACATCTAAACAATTGAATTATGTTGAAACCACTAGATTCCCCTTTAAGCCAAAAACAAATTGTTTATCCGTTCATGCAAAATTCAATCTGTTTACTCTTCAGGACTAGAAAGAGCACTTTTAGACTGTTTGAGCAGAAACTCTGAAAGGAACTCTGACTGTCTGACAGGAACTGAAGATACAGTCAATAGTATTTATACAGAGGGCGTGACTAAGTCGACTAAACATCAACACTCTTCCCCTCGAACCTCCTGTGTGGTAGAACAGAGTTTGAGCAGTGAAGCGGATTTGGGTTAAACCGGAACGGCTCTGTAGCGCCGGGCAGTGTGAGCTATCCGCAGCGCGTGAGTGGAAGCCTGCAGGATAAAGCTGCTGTACTGAAGACGTCTCCTGCAGAGGATGCTGGGAGATTAAGAGATTAGTGCAGTTCTGTGCCAGTGAGAAAGAGAGAGAGAGAGAGAGAGGGGTAGGTAAGACTGGAAGAAAAGAAAAGAGGGAGCAGCTCGAAAGACAAGACTTTGGCCAGCTAATGATTTCAGAGAGATTTGATGTGAAATTATTAATTATGGAGAAACTTGCAGACTTGTCTTTCATTACAGTGGTGCTGATAGGAACCAAGAGTCATGATGTCTACACACAGATTTAATTTACTATCCTTTTTACTTACTATCCAAAACAACCAGCGGACCTACACGTGTCGTCTGAGTCTTTATATGTAATGTTGATGATACTAAATAAGGGTAAATCTGAAAAAAAACATGTTTTCTTTGCAGATGATTCTATCTTACAATGTCCTGCATGTACCTCTTCACCATGAATGTATTTTTAATGAGACACTTTAGACCAAAATCTTCTCTAAACTATCAGAAAACAATGTCTCAGGCATCAGGCAGCTTATGCAGGAACATTTCCTGTAGTATCTTTCTGAGAGAGAGCTTTTAGAACCATTCAACTCTTCAGACGTCTGGTTCCTATCACCACTGTGAACAATTCTGACTTGCAAAGGTTCTTAAGAACCGAGCATTTCACATCAAACTTTGTTTATGTCTTAACTATTTATTTTCTAGATATTTAAAACTATTTATTTCCAGTCATTTTCAAGTCCAGGCTCAAGTGTCTTAGAATGGGGAGAGATCCATAAACCTGAAACTGAAAGCCACACTAATGTTTTTAAAACACATTTGAAATGACTGGTAAAATCAGACAAAATTAGCTTAAATAATCTGTAGTTTTGGCCCCAATAACTCCAGCAGCACTGCTGTGTCTGATCCACTCAGACCAGCGCAACACACACTAACACACCACCACCACATCAGTGTTACTGCAGTGCTGAGAATGATCCACCACCCAAATAGTACCTGCTCTGTGAGGGTCCATGGGGGTCCTGACCACTGAAGAACAGGGTAAAAGGGGGCTAACAAAGTATGCAGAGAAACAGATGGACTACAGTCTGTAATTGTAGAACTACAAAGTGCACCTATATAGTAAGTGGAGCTGATAAAATGGACAATGAACGTAGAAACAAGGAGGCGGTCATAATATTATGCCTGATCGGTGTGGCATTAGCTGTAAATGACAGAGAAGACGTGGTTTATTTGCGTTTAAAACAGAGATGTTCAAAGTCCGGCCCCAGGGCCAAATGCAGCCCTTGGGCAGATTTTAATTGGTCCATGGCTTCTGTTTTAGGGTGTGTTATAAGTAGCGCACCAGCCAATACACTGCAGTTTTTCGAGTCACCTGATGGTGGCAGCAGTGCTGTGAAATTAGTTACTGTGGTAATGAAGTGTGCTGAAGTTTGAGAGCCTTTCTTCTCTGACTAGACCTGCAGCTTCATTCACTGAATGACATTTAGTCAAGACGACAGCCATAAAGCACAGACTAAACACTGAGAACTGATGATTTTGTCTAGATGGAAATTTCAGTGCTTTTTCATTGAGCCAAAGCAAATGCGTGTCTCATCTGTCAAAAGACTGGAATGAATTTAATATCAGTAGACATGAAACAAGGCATGGATGTTACAATATTCATTGTAACCCTGCTGGGGTTACAATAAATATTCAAGCAAGAGCAAAGAAACTAAAGCAACTGCAGCTACCTGAGTTTCCCCAGCACCAACTTCTTATCAGAACAAATAAGGCCAAACATCCCTGTTTTAAACACAAACTAAAGCACATCTTCTCTGTCTTTTATGGCTAAAACTACATTCTTACAACCCCTTCTATTTGAGATTACTCAACAACCACTTTAAGGCAAATGTGTGATGCTTAAGGCATGCTCATTGCCAGGGTATGAGCCTCCATTACTTGTTAGCTACATTAGCCTATTTCTGCTGTTTAATCTGCTCTTCTCATTTAATAAAGCGATTAATAAAGCAGATGGTTGCTGCATTTCTTTGCCGTGTAAAGAACATAATCTAACAAAACAACAAACTTTAGTTTATCTCGCCAATTATATTTTTGAACAAGTAAACACAAATGGGAATAGAATTAATACATGAGACATGTTTTATTGTTACTTTTAAACAAATTAATAATTTGTTGTAGACATTTATCAATCCAAATTGCTCTGAATGAGCAGTTCAACAAAATCAAAATCAATAAAAGAAGCTATGTGCATCTTTTATGCAGTGATAGGAAACACAGTAGCTCACAGAAAGCTCTGATTCTATGTGTTGATATTTTGAAATTGTAATATTTTAAACCATTTGTGAATATTTCAGCCCTCAGTGTTTTGACACGGTACAATCAGGCCATTTTTGGAAAAAAGGACCCCCCTTTGGACAACTGGGGTACTGACAGCAGCTTCTGAGCTTGTGGTTGCAACTCTTTCCATATTTATCTGCTAAACGAAACCCCTGGCCAGCACAGAAGAAGACACTCATGGCATAGGCTACTTCATTGCTCCAGTATTTTCAACTCAGGGTACCTGGAACACTGCAGAAAGGACGGCTGCTCAGAGCATACAAAACGCAAAAAAGAGAAAAGACACACCTTTCCCATTGTAAACTACTTAAATAAAGTGCTTC